AAAAAAAAAAAAGGGGGGGGGGGGGGAACAAAAACAAAACCAAACCCAAACATCCTTTCAAGCCTCACCATTGGCAGCTCTTTCAAAAGTTTGCCAACACAGTAGGAATTGCCCGGCCTTGAAAGACACATGCCATTTGACACTAGTCATCCAGCCCTTTATACGCTACCGGCAATCCCGGAGGAACAAAAGGCATCAGGTGTTTCACTGGTTTTAACAAAACCTCCCCACGCCTCTGGGCTGGGACATCACCCCGTAACTGGTGAGGGAAGCCGGTGGCGCAAATCCTGGAGAAACCAAGGCACTTGCTGCAGGTCCAGGTACGCTGGGGCAGAGCCAGGGACAAGGCGAGGGTCCGGTGGGATGGCAGCCGCGCTCCCAGCAGCCTCCTGCCAGTGGGCTGGCTTGAATAAGTGGAAGAGCACACCCTTAAAAACAGCAACGAGCTCAAATAGCGCCCTGCCAATGCCAGGCCCCTCTCCCCACCCTTCCCCTGCGGAGAGGCAGCGTCTCCCGAGGCCGGTTTGGTTAAGGCTGGGTCACCATCGCAGCCGGGGACCGGGGAAGAGCTGCTTTGCCGCAAGCGGCAAAAAAGGAATGCCCCATTTAGGGTCGGCAAGGAGCTTTTTATAGGTGCGTGTTTGAGGCTGAGCAAAAATTTAACAGTTTCACCTGCCCTGAAAGAAGAGTCACTGCCTAAGCAGGAGAGGGGCAATTTTCACGGGATACCTCTTTCCCTCTATTCAGAGAAAAGTCCACGCACCAGCGCCGTCCCGTCCAGCGCCACGTTGCCCGATGCCCACTGCCCCTCGCTGTCTGACCGGGAATTGCAGCAGTTTCCCTGGCCAAGGCTGTAACGCATCCGCTGCCCCAAGCCCGGGATGCACCTGACTTTCCACGTACGAGGTGCCCATCCCACAGGAAAGCCCCATGTGCCCGAGCCATGCACGGGACCCGCAGCCTGGAAATTCTGCAGCAGCTCTATTTTTAAACAAAGCCTTTGAACCGAATCCAATCGGAAAGGTAACAGGGTCATCTTTCTCATCCCCTCAGACGGTGCTTGGGGATGATCAATCACCGATACCGCGCAGGATGTCACACCGACGGTGCCACCGGGGCTGGGTGAGGGGGAGACCGATGCAAGGGAGAAGGGTGCGACCTCCTGGTACCCAGCAAGGGATTTGGAGACAGGCACGTTAACCAAAGCTACCCAACAGCCAGAGGCCGACATTCGCGCTGCCACCTCTGGGGCTCGGAGCCACACCCGGCCTCCGTGCACCAGCCAGATAACGCTGCCACGAGCCGCGCCGGCTCTGCCGGCAGCTCCGGGGAGGATGTCACCACCCAGTTACATTCCAGCTGTATTTTTAGGTTACCTGCATAACCCCGGGGGCTGGAAAAAACGTTTGATTTTGTGTTTTGTTCCCAGGTGGCAGCTTGCTATCCTGCAGCCCCGTGACGATGGAGCACACAGGCTCCCCTCTGAGAAACCCACATGAGCAGAGACCAGACTGCCTTTAGGAAGCTTAAAAGCACCAGCTAGCTGGCATCTGCACTATGCCATTATAGGACACGCTACATACATGCCAAGACTCGTGCTGCTTCGCCCCAGAGCTTGTGCAAAACCCCAGTGCGAAGGTGGTTACGGTCACAGGGGCACCTCTTTGGAGCAGGCACCGAGCCAGGGTGCAGGCAAAGCAACCTCCGCGGGGCTGGAGACTGCCTCCTTTGCATCCATCGCTCCAGCTGGGTTTTCTCCCAAAAAAAAGCAAGGGCAGAGGCTGCACCTCCTCAAAGCTCAGCTGCAGCGCAATGCCAACATGGACCCACCGAGGGTAGGCTGGGGGGCGGTGGGAAAACGGTTGGGATGGGTAATTAACCCAACCCACGGCTCATCAGGAACCACGGAGCTAGGCGGCGCACAGGTCTGGCCAGCCCACAGCGTGCACGGCCAGCGTGAAACCCACGGCTACAAGCCATCTCGTGGGACCAGCACAGGCTGCACCGGCTCAGGCTGCACCAGCTCAGCTGCAGATGCTGGCGTGCTGCCACGAGACAAAGGTCTGGAAGCAATCGCAACCCCGATGCCTTAACTGTTAGGAGAAGGCAAAGGAGACGGTGCTTAGAGAGGAGCAAAGAGCATGCTAAAAAAAAAAAAAAAGAGAGAAAAAGGAAGAGGCAGAGCCACTGTCACCTGTGCCCATCTCCCTGACAGCATGTACCCAGCCCTCCCCGGAGCAATACTCCTCCCTTTGATTTCTCAGCCCATAGGCAAAGCCGTGAAAAAATAAAACCTGTTTGGAACTGATGCGACCGGCTGGTGACAGTTTCCTGATGGGAGAGAAAACTTAAACCATTTTTGGAATAGATCAGCTTGACAGGAGGCACACGGTTAGTTTTTTTTCTTTCTGGGAAAGGAAAAGAATCATTTGCCTTTTTAATTGTCAGCTGTAACTCAACTCCAGAGTCAATAGACACTCTTTCTATCCAAACTGGTGCAATTCAAGTACTTCCAGGTGTCCCCAAAACTCTGTAAACTTGG